CAGGATGGTATTTCAGTTTCTGGCGGGTGGTACGGTGGTGAAACTCAGCAGCTGGTATTAATCCGAACAATTCCTCAGAACACTCCCCGTGATATATGCGGTAGAAAATGCACAGAGATGCAATATCTCGCTGCAAAGCCAATGGGTCGAGTCTGTCACATAGACGTTGATTGCCAATGATTCTGGCTGCTCGGTTCTGAATGCGGTCAAAATACTAATATAATATATAATATAATATATGTGTATACTATATAACTTCATACCATGTTTATATACATTTTACATTTATATACACTGCTAAATGATAAAGTGCATTAACTCAATTATAAATTTATTTAAGTCGTCTTTATTCTCATTGCATTAAAGTGTATTTCTCTCTCTTCTATCTTCTCTCTCTAGTAGTACTAATTTGTAATCGATTTCTTATCTACGCATGTAATATTTAAGAAGTGACTATTTTGAGTATCTTTTACCATTTATCAATGACTAGTAAAAATTTCGAAGTGTACTTTCCCGTATGCTTTATAGAAATCGTTTAGATTTCTATAAATAAAGAAACAATATTACTAATAATATTTATATAGTGGAAGTTTGTTATTATACTACCTACTTACCTATATGTTTTATTTACCTTTATTGTTCTCGTTACTTGACTAAACATAAAACATTGTAGTTAATAGCATCTTGCTATAACAACTAGCTGTAACTATCAATATAATATTTATAATAATGCTATTATTATATTGATAATTATAGACTCAGAGATATTGACAACCCGATGGTCGCGGGTTCGATTCCTCGCACGGCACAATGATTTGTATTCATGAGTATGATTGTTTGTATCGGGTGTTTTATATGTATAATATGTATGTATTTACAAAAAAAATAATTTTGTATTTGTATCAGTTCTGTAGTACCCCAAAACACAAGCTTTAGCTAGGATAACTTGGGTCTAGATGGCGCTGTGTGAATTGTCCTGAGATTATTATTAATATTCTACTTTTATAACGTGTGAGTGATTCATAAGAACTTAAACGTAATTACCATTCATTAATATACTAAATATATTTCATTGCTTTTATTTATCATGATAAATTGTAACTTACTCATATAATATCTAATCATATGATTTGATACCAATATCAATCTAAGAATTCAGAATTATATTATTATTTAGTATTTATTTTAATAGTTCATAATTAATGACTATTCAAAAGTGCTTCAATGTAAGTTTATTTGAATAAATGATTCAATGATCTATTCTATTCTATTCTATTCATAAGTATGCTTACGCAAGTGTTATTTTACGGAAGTCCATTTCACAAAATTATATAAATCCATCCAAGTTTTATGTATACGCATAAATTACTCTATATTTATTGATTGAATACTTACAAATACTTACGTTGTTTTCCAATCCACAGAATAAGTCGTCACAGCAATTACTAGAAACCGTATTCCAGCAGCATCCCTCGGGTTACGTAGATCAGCGAATTAGTGTAATCATCGAGGATGTATGAGCATCATACACATGTATTACTTGAATGGGTCACCAAATAAATAGCAAATTAACATTACATTTGTACATATGTACTATTTGTACTGTCTTGCCAGTTTCAATAGTGTGTATAAATTATAAAATTTATAATTTAGTTAAGTAAATAATTAAGTTAAGTATAGTTTGTAATTTTCTTTATAAGGTATGGAAATATTATTTGATAGTGTGTAGTGTAGTTACTGTAATATAATTTTAAAGCTGAAGTTAAAGTTTTTAATTATTTATGTATTGGAAAATGTAATATACTTACCTCAATAAATAATTGAATATGATTCAATTTTGGCCTATTTTTATTTTACTATTTGTCCATTTAAGTAATACAATAGATATACAATATCAACTTGAAATAGGTGTAATATATATGTAGTATATAATTATGTCAATTGTTTTTTAAAAACTCTAACAATCCAGATAAATTATTGATTTATTAATTATAATAATTATATGCTGTTCTAGAAATAAAATACATTAATAGTGTATATCTAAGCTAAGCTTAAACGAATTCGCGAGAAGCAATGGGGAGTTGTAATTGATGAAATAAAACAACAATATCTCACATTAAATTTATATTAACTCACAGATCTGAAACAATCACTACTGCTACGGCAAGGGTTACATGTCATTAAAAAATAGTAAAATAAGGTGTGTATGAAACATCTGCTATGATTTATAAACAACAAGACCACGAGGCGAAGTCCATTGAGTTACAATAATCGGGTAAAAATTCAGAGTTCTTCAGACGTGAGGTGATAGCAGAACTTTGAAACACACCCTGTTTTGGAATTCGCTTCGCATTTATAACACAAGTAAATAATTCGCTGTAGTTACATTTATCTACGATCTGTCCATACTTGACGTTTACTATATATAAAGATGATATAATCATTTAAATCTAATGCGTAATTTAAATGAGATCCCGTCTATATAACTATTTAGAAAGTAGTAATGCAAAATATTAATTGTACAAGTATGAACAAATCGCAACGCTTAGCATACATTATACATTATTCAGCTTTCGCTGTAGCGGTGTGACAGACCTGTCGCCTTACACTAGGGTAATCTATAATCAAGACTTATCTACTATGAATCTGCCTGATGCTCAAGTTACAACGCAGTGGTGAATGGTAGACTGTGACATCGCAGTCCTCAGGTGCAATATTGGACTTGTACTTCAGCTGTTGTCACTCCAACACCGGGCAGAGACAGTGGTTTAAATTTTGCGCTACGCTTATAATAAACAAAAGGGTAAATTTAAAATTAAAAGAACGCATGCAAAATTTCAATTTGTTACATATATCTATGTATATACCAACACAATTGGACGAGGGAACAGTATAAAGAAAACAACCTCTTTACGTATTAACTCTTCCAATTTTACTCAACTCAATGCAACAGAAATTATCTGGTAACTGAACATTAAATTAATTATACATAAGTGTAATCATCACATAAATCTTAGATCAAATCCTTATAATCTATTGTTATAAACTTGAAATCGCTACGTTAAACTTATTTCAAAATAAGTCTATCGATGAATACGATAATAGAATATGATAAATAACAAATTTACCGTTACTTTTATATTTACATTAGTTATATCTAATTGATACTACTAGTGAGTGCTTTAAACAATATGAAGAGACACAAACATTATGTCCGCTAACATATGAGAGGGTGGAGGGGTGGGGCGTCGGAGGCGCGGGGTGGAGGCTGCGCGCGCGCATCCCTCCCGAACGTACTCTACTGTAAATATGAACAAATCTTGTGGAAGGCAATATGAGGTATTTTGTGTTAGGCTGGTCGCCCTCCGCCCTCCGCCCTCCGCCCTCACAACAAACACTATAACCCTATTACTCGTTACTTGAGGTAGTTAAGTTTCATATATTGTGACACCGTTACATTATTGCTATGAAGCAAATACTTCTATGTATACAAAATCTTCTCAACAATATAATTATAACATTTGTATGTTGTATATAAATTTGTATGGTATCTGGTGATGGTGGGCAGCTTGCGCGGCGCACTCGGGCACGAGTTTCGTTGTATGTATTTGGCACACGATTGCATCCTAACGAGGCACCGCGCATTCTCTCCAGCATCCATATATTTATCTCGACTTATAAATCAGCAATATTTATACATTATATGACAACCGTTCAGACACAATTAGGAGGTAGGCCATCTCTGTACAGACGAACATTTAACATATTGCTTTTCGTATTTATCTAATTAATCAAACAGTAATAATTTTTGTACATTTCATTAAATGGATATAAGTAGATATCTATAGTAGCTGTAGTATGAGGTAGATCAACATTGTAAGTGTACTATTTGTATAAAAATATTTCTGCAATATAATCAACATTCAAATACAAACATTATCAAAATTAAGTCGATATAATGTTCATATTGCACATATTCATTCAAAAACGATTTCTCGGTACTAAAATGTGAACCGATATGTATTTATGTATTGAAGGGCGCACCCAAATATTCCACCCGTTATGTTTGCACACATCACAACATCTGTCTACGAGCAAAATTCTGAAACTTGTCAGCCCGGTGTCTGCCGGGCGTCGGCCGTACGTCGTCCGGACGCCGGACGTCGGCCGGACGTCGGACGGACGTCGGACGGGACGACGCTTAATGTTGCGTTGGCGTCGCCTTCGGTCGAATTTAAATCGAATAAATAAATAACAAGCGGAATATTTGTTTGCGACTCTACATGGCCATGATATGTTCAATTGAATTATTATTTCTCGCGTAATATGTACAAAGAATTCACGATTCCCTTATAATTTGTTTAGTACATAAATCAATAACTAATACATATGTCATGTCATTTTATTTATTACTATACAAAAAACATTTACATTATTATTTTAAATTATTGCTAGAGAATTTCTTTATCATTAGGCTAAAAAAACATTTAAACATAAATCGTTTCGCAACAGGTAGTTGGCGGAATTAATTTGGCAACGTTCAGGAAGACTACTTTCCTACCACTAACGAAACAGGAATGTATAAACTAAATTCGTTCAAATAACACATTGGTAACTTAATTGGACATAAATTATTCATTTTTATTTTCCGAATTGTATCAGAATAAAAACAAAGAAAGATTAACCTTACATTAAAACAAATGTCAACATATGAAATAATATTAGGAAGCACCGGGAAAAATTTATTCAGAGAATAATAATCAATAGAGTACATAATAATGTATCTAAAACAAATACACTTGGTGGGGACCAAGCGCGGCCGCGGAATTGCGGACCGATCCACGCGATCCAACTCAATGACCGCGACGCGACCTGTTCATTTAGCGGGCGAGGTGATGGTGATGACCCACCCCGGATTACCCCGGTTACCCCGGATTGCCCCGGTTACCCCGGATTGCCCCGGTTACCCCGGATTGCCCCGGTTACCCCGGATTGCCCCGGTTACCCCGGATTGCCCCGGTTATCCCGGTTTGCCCCGGCGCGGCGCGGCGTTCAAATAATTCGAGTTCATTAACTAACATAGCGCCACTTTGCGCTCACCCACACACGACTAGCTACTACTAGGTGTTACATACTTATAAATTTATCAATCATTTTATATTGTACTCGGCGTATTATATTTAAATTTGGCATCTAAATCTTTTACAAATGTATTTTGTACCGTTATTACTTTTTTATATCTCATGTAGAAATAGATTTTTAACAAATAAATTATAATTTATTCCACAGTACCTACAAAATAAATGTCTGGCAATGAAGTCCCTTTTAATATTTACAAAAATTACTCTACTTAAGTATTTTCCAAAATACACATACGTACCATTTTTAACAACTATAGTAAGCAAAACGTAGGAATTTATCTAAAATAAATCTATGGTCCATAGTTCATAATAAACAAAAGATATGCTTTAGTTCGCGTTACTCACTAATATGATTTCAAATAAATCAATTTTAACTAGTATATTATAATTTTCGATTTCATATGTAAAATTGATATGGATTGATATAGTGATTACCGCAGAACTTGCGCTAACGTCATGTAATTACATGTTTAGCGCCCAGACACCCAGGCATGTAAAGTCACCTTGTGCCAACGCAAGGTTAAGTTGAATGAACAATAAAAAACGAGCTCGCGGACTGGAGACTCGTTGGGTGACTGATATCCACGTAGCCGAGCGAGCAACGGCGGCGGCTGCGCAGCCCGACCTATCTAAGTATACACCGACATCGACACACCCTAAGTTCGCGGCGATGCCTACAGTACAATTTGAGCGATTATTCGTCAAACAAATAAACACCGATTTGTGTGCGCCCGTGAATTCTCAACGCTTCTGCTCAGCGTTCTTACCGCTCATTGCCCTATAAAGACGTAATGTATAACATAATTTCCGTTTCAACATTATAAACTACGAATCTAATAAAAATTAATAATTTATTGCAATGTTTCTATTTTTAAATCGAAAATGATATGTGTGCGCGACAATTGTCTTTGTGGCTTTTTGTTTAATTGAGGATGAGGTGAGTCAACGATGTTGGCGAGGTAGACGTCGTAGACGACACCGATGACGACGACATCGATGAACGTAAATTTTTTTTAATATGCGTATCGAAATGTTTAACCATGTGGTCTTTCCTAATGAATCCTTTGCCGCAATGATCGCATGCGAATGGTTTGCAACCGGAGTGCAAACACATGTGTCTGCGCAAATCAGTTTTATGATTGAAAGATTTAGGACATTCATTGCATTTGAACGGTTTATTGTCAGTATGCTTTATGTAATGCCCTTCATAAGACACATCATCAGAGAATCGTTTTCCGCACCGGTCACATTTGAAGGGTTTAGCGCCTGAATGGAAAGTTTTATTGTGCTGAGTAAGGTAACAGGCTTTATTAAAGAGTTTATCGCATTCATAACACTTGTGTACGGTAGCTGGGGCGGTTTTTTTCACCTGATTTCTCTCTGTTAGTGGTGTACTGACAGTAGATGATATGGATGGTGATCCACGACTTTCATTTTCTACCTTCGCGCTTTCCGGACTAGCCGGGGACTTCATCTGAGTCCCATAGTTTTCTTTATTAGCGTAATCCATTATATCCTCTATTTTCAATATTTGTAGTTGACTGGAGTCCGTCCGCAGGATATCATCAATTTCGCGTTTTATTGTTACACCACCGAATGGGTAACTGTATCTATAAAGTTTAACATTTTCCGGGCTATAAGCGACATTTTCCTTAACCGGTTTAGGAGAGTAACTATAATCGTAATCGATATTTTGCCCATTGATGTCAAGATTATTATACTGTAAAGAAGAATTAACTGGATCGACGATAATATATCCTGCGGTCGACTCGTCAGCGACAGCTTGACCCCCCACGTTAGGCTGTGTTACACAGTTTGAAACATAAACGCTAAAGCTCTGCGTTTGGAGCTGCGAAAAACTCGGCAAGCGTCCGCCGGCAGGTTGATTAGACGTTTCCTGTTCCATAACCTCGACTTCTTCTGGTGCAGATTCACCAAAAGTAGCCGGATTGGCTATAGGCAGATTGTTGATAGCCATATCCATAACGTGGGGGGCCATCCCGTTTGGGTAACTCGGTGCTATAGTCTGTTGAAAATTCTGACCCAAATATAATGGGGTGTGCGTGGGGTCCGGTACCGAAGGCCCCAAAGGATCCGTAGACCTCGGACTGTACGGGTTGACACCCAAATGACTGAACGGAGGCAGTGTGTGAGCCGTAAGCCCCGGCGTACTCTGAGTTAGAGGTGGAGTTGAAATATTGCTGGTTGATACTGATAGCAGGCCCCTCATATGGTGATTTTGAGAAACAGAGGGACCTGCTTCCCCGTTTGGGGGATTTCCAGAGGAGGATATTGTAGCGCCCTTACTTCCCTGATGATTACTATCATTTGGGTTCCCTATACCGGGCGGTTGACTACCTATATTAAGCGGATGCGATCCGACTTGATGCTGTAAAGGGTGATTAGCTAAAGGATTATTACTGAAATTATTATCTAAATTACCCTGTTGAAGATGCGTATATGGCGACTTGGACTGCATGGTGGCCACACGATGCGAGCGGTCGAAGTTCTGCGATGCATAGGGCGACTGTAGAGCGGCGTCGTCGACACTGCGCCCGTCCTCGGAAGGCACCGGGCTCTGTGTATTCGAGTCTGCGGTCTGCTGCTGTGCGCGGCCTTGTATTGCATCGCGACTCGGATGATGGTGACTAGAGATAGGCATAGTCGCTGGATCTGGTTGTCCGGATGATCTCACCGCATTTTTATGTAATGTGGTATTATAATGCCTTTTTAAATGTCCAGAACTTGTAAACCATTTATTACAAGCCGTGCAGTTATATGTTTTCGGTCGCCTTGCTTCATTTGATTTCCAATTAGCTCCTTTTCCACCAATAGAGGGCAGTGTGGATGAAGTTGGATTCGCCGGCTGCGTGCTTGTTATCTGTGGTGCCGCAGAAGAGTCATACGGCCGATATGGCGGTTTCATATCGGAATTAGAAGATGCTAATCCCGGATATTCACTCAAAGGAGGCATTTGCACGCCTGGATATATTTTTTGTTCAACATGCATGAATGATTTTTGATCATGATGTCCAGAAAGAAATTTTTCTTGTGAATAAGCAAATTTCTGTTCCGGGTGAAACATTTTGGCTTCTGATGTATAAGATGGTTTTTGTTCAACAAACATCTTTTGATCTTTAAAAAGGGAAACATCTCCATTAAGTTGAGGATTAGTGTACAACTTTTGTGCTTCCCAGGGCATCATTGGAACAGTCCGTGTATTTACTTCCCGACCCTGAGGCGGCGCCTCTTCATATGGTGTTGCCTGTTGGTCGCCCTCATTGCCTTGATAAACCACTTTTTGAGAATCTAAATCTAGTATGTCTGATGATTCTTCATGTTCTTCTTTTATTTTTGTATTCTCATTTTGGTAACCAGAATTATTGTATTGTTTTTGTGGAAATTGTTGAAACGGCAATGAGCCCGTTGCTGGTGCAGTACTGGTACCAGCGTGAGCTGAGTTACAATGTTCATTGAGTTGGACGGCAGAGTCACATACAAAGCCGCACTTATCACATTGGTTAGGTGATGGTGACGGCGTTGGTTGATTCAGTGGCTGTCCATATAGTGGGCTGGACGAAGTCACTTGCGGTACTCGCTCTTGCATATTATACGGATGAAAACGTGCCGGTTTATGATATTCTTGATTTTGATACTGAGATTGCTCCCAGTTAATCTGTTCTGAATGTTGATTTTGTGTAAAGCCAGAATGAGAATAATTATTACCAAATTGTGCTCCTGGTGAAAAGTTGGTTTGATCCGGGTTCTGGTAGGGTGACGGTGCACTGTGATAACTTTGTGGTGTTGCAGGATGAGGGAACTGGGCCGAGGTTTCTGGGGTGGCCCGTTGCTGGAACTCTGGACTCGGCTTGGTAATCATACTGTCACTAGAGTCGGCGGGCGCCGACACTGTTGTCTCGGCCTTCACTTTTACCCCGTTATTATTATCGGTATCATTCTGTGAGTTTTGCGTACCCCACTTCACATATAAATTTTCTTTGTGGTACTGTAGATGTACCTCTAACGAATCAACAGAATCGAAATAGAGACTGCAAATCTTACAGTGATAATCCCTCGACGGCAAGGTCGACGATACAGCGCTGCTGTTAGCCATTTAAGTCATCAATCCCACGGAGAGCACCGTCTCCTCCAACGAAAAAAAAATAATAAAAAAACAACACTCTTCGTGTCGACGTACATGTAGTCCACACTCGATCAGGCGCTACAGGTTAAAGTCATGGCCGCTATCGGCGCGTCTCCCCTCGCGAGTTAACTTATAGTACGGCAATGTTTTCGAAGAAAGTTTTTCGCGGCATTTCCGCTAGCGGGCGGGCGGGCGGCGGTGGCACGTGCGCGCGGTAAACACTGGGCGCCCGCGAGTCGACACCTGCACCACACGACTACTGGCCGCGGGACACCACCGGCACTCGAGCGGTCACTCGCAACGTCTCACTCTCACTTTACTAACAACAAAGTTTCATTGTCAAAGTCCACGATCGGTTATTGTCAAAGTCTTAACAGTGTATAACAAACGAACTAAAATCACAGAAGCGGTTGCAGCGTTATTAACTTGGCACTTGTTTGTGTGAACCCGATCGCGCGATAATGTAGTTTGTATAGTTGGAAGGTGGTGCGGCGCGGATGCGGCGCGGGTCAGCCGGGTACGGACGCAACGAACGTTTACAAGCAACTGACAGCCTTCCCGAAGTCGCCTTCGGGGGCATGACTTCAATAACAATTCGCAACGTCGTCCCCCACCGAGTCGTGCGTGCGAGCGAGAGCAGTACGCGGTGATGAAGTTATCGCTTCTTAGTCCTTTTGTGCGTGCTCGGTGCGAGCGAGACAGTCGCAGCGGGGCCGGCGGACCGCGGGGGACGGGGTTGGTCCTACTCTTTCTCAAAATTGAAATGCCCGGTCGAAATGTCCGGTGATGCTGCGTCCGAGTAGGATAGCGATAGCAGCCACCCTTACCATGCGGGCGGACAGAGCCCTGCGACGAAATTCTCGAACGCATTTTAAACATGCGTCTATGAGTAGCACTATTACTTTATCTTATCAACGCAATTATAATATTGTTGTAATTAAATCTGTGTATGATTATCTATGTATAAAAAATTAGTATTTCGAAATATACTTTTTTAATCTTAAATTTATTTAGGCACTTTTATAAGATATACATTATGCCAAAATAATATAACAAACTTTCGAAAATTAAAGATAATGACATTATAGTATAAATAAATTAAGTAAATGAAGGTTATATGACATTCATTCTATATACTGCAAAGACAACATACTCATTTATGTTATTTACATATCTAATAAATAAAAAAAATAGTTACTAAGTAGATACATATATGTGTAAAGTAAATACAATGTAATATAATATTTATGCGGAGATAAATTATATATGTAGTGGCTAATTTCATACATACCTAAAATAACGAACAAAGAAATTGTACAGCCACGATATATGACTCACGAATCGGCATCATCGCAGTTATTTTTATTTTTTTCATTAGCAGATAACTCTTTTTATGCACGTAGCCAAACACACAAAGTATTTTCCCGAAACACAATTTGTATTTCAAACTAGTAATCACGTTATTTACTTAAGCAGTTTTATTTTTAATTATCTGCCAATCTGTATACATTAGTGACAATATTATACACATATATGATATATTATGTAACTATTTATATGAATATATTTTGTTTAATTTATTTCTCTGTTGCGTTTAATTTCTCATTGGATTATGATATTAAAAACAACAGCCGTATTGCTGTTAGATACTGCAAAATAATTGTTTAAAATATCTCTGTAGGAGAACTAGTTATATTAAAGATTGTGTAAAATATATGTATATGTTAGGAATGGCCGAAAACCGCGCAGGCCACTGAAAATTTTGCATCACGGATCGCGGGGTGTTACAGCGGGGGACAGGCGCGGTTCCTTAAATTTTTTCTAAACATCGAACGAACGTCTCTGCAAAACATTCAGATCTCGGACATCGCATCCCGTGCCCTCAGCATCCCGCCACTAATAATGTCCGACTTGTAGTGGATAGTCGATACTACACAGATGGCTGGACATAGGTCCCATGCAAACTATGAGGGGGAGCTAACATCGATTTTCTCGTGTTCCCAATTGCTTCCTATTCCTTACCTCCCCTTACGATTTTACACTGAATTCGCACTACATTTTGGTAGCATAATAACTATATACGTATAGTATTTATACTCATGTAGTACATATATTTTATGTTATTATATATTATAGAATATAATAGAAAATCCTTTATTCAAATAAACTTAATTTAAACACTTTTGAATAGTCATAACACTTTTATCAATCTACCACTCATTCGGAAAGCTGTCTCATCAAAAGAAGAACGAGCAAGAAACTTGTGTGTTGCGTGCTATATGATCAAGTTATATTTTTGTATTGTGACGTCACTTAATAAGATATTTGCATAATATATATTGAATATTGGTGATAATATAATCACTAAAATAGAAATTACTTTTATGTACCATAAATTGAACAGCACTCAGTCAATTTTGATTCTTGTGACCTACACAATAAGTAGAATTATGAGTTGTTCCAGTACCAATCTACCTACAATAAAGTTTTAATCACAAAAGTATTAAAAGTAACTTTTGAATTACAACCTACCTACCTTTATTTTGTAGTCATTTTAAATGAAGCGGTTTCGAAATCTATTGCATTTTGTTATATTTTTTGGAATATAAATATTTCAAAGTTCTTACTGCCGTGTTGGAAGATATCAATGTGTTACTAGCTGCAACCGCGACATTGTCTGCGTGGAATTTAACTTTATAGTTCTAAAATAAAAGTAGATTTAATATTACATCAGCTACCAGCCAAAATAATCCCATAAAATCGGTCCAGCCATTTCAAAGATTAACCGGAACAAACAGACAAAAATTGTAAAAAAAAAATATTTTTCAGCCCGATCCGTCCAGTGGTTTAGGCTGTGCGTTGATAGATCACTATGTCAGTCACTTTGAGGTATATATATTTAGATATATAAATATATGAAAATATTAAGTATAAAGTAATTATGGGACACTAATAAATAAAAAGTAAAATAAAGTAATTAAGGACGAGTTATGAAGATTTGTAATGCAATTTGTTACTCAAAAAATACTAAAACGTTTTTATCAAATCTTTCACACACTGATAACTAACTTTTCTAAAATAAAAGTAGCCAAAGTTACTCCTTATTACATCAGCTACTGCCAATAAAGGTCCCGTCAAAAGCTGTCCAGCTTTTAGAGATTAGCCGGAACAAATATATAGATAGACAGACATATAAAAATTAAAAAAAAAATTGTCTATGTATAGTATTTATATTCATATGTATGTAGTAAAAAACGGTTATTTCAATATTACAAACAGACACTACGATAAAACTACTTTCGAATTCGTAAGCATTTCGTTGTCAAATGAATGTAAAAAAGTTAAAGGAAGCAGTTAATGTGATATTAAGGTACATTATTCATAACATTTTGTGCGTCGCGAGACCAATAAACAAATATACCGGCTGGCAAACTTGAGTTCCAAGTTTCCCACTTGCACGATACTTTGCGACCTCTTCTGATAATCCGCCGCAAATTAGTTTAAGATGATATTATATCTGTACCGATCTCTAACAGTTTCTCACGAGGAAGACTTATTTATAAACCGACTTCGAAAAAAGCGAGCTACATCTTACGCACTGTATTTTTTCTATATCATACACAAACAGGATTGTCTTGTCTAATTAAGAAGCGTAATAAATATTGTATTTTGTATTTGTTATATTATTCTATAAAAAAAAATTATCATACCAAACTTTTTTTTACAAACCTCAAATTGAAAACGAAATCAGATGATCCTTTAGTGACGTATAAGAGATATTATGAAAATACTTACTTTATATTATTTTTATGTATTGTTATGTTAGTATTAATATTATGTATATATTCATAATATTAATACTAGATTTAAAGACAAACTTGCTGTCCCCAAGTATTGTTTAGAAAAAGTCAATAGGTCTTTTATGGGAATAGGTATAAAAATTTACAATAAGATACCAAAGGATATATTGGAATTACACTTAAATAAATTCAAAACATCTGTTAAATCATATTTACTGAGCAAGGCCTATTACTCACTAAACGATTACTTGAATGACGAGCGTGCATGGCAATAGTTTTCATGTTCGTGATTTTCATTTAATGTTAGACATAGACACCTATATAAACACCTATGAATTGTAAATAAACTGGCTTTTAAAACAAAAGTAATTCAATTGAGTTTCTTGCCAGTTCTTCTCAATTGGATCTATATACCGAACTGGACGGTAGGGAAAAAAATATAATGTAAAAACTTGACGTTCATAAGCGGCTAAAATGTCCTACATGAATAAATGATTTTTGAATTTGGACATCTCCATCAACATGTAACCCGTTTTAATGATTATATTGAATCATAATCAAATGTTTCCCTGCTTATTTCCTCGTTACTGGCCTTTACTCTTATATGGAACTAGCTGTAACCGCGACTTCGTCCGCGTGGAATTTAACTTTATTTTTCTAATAAAAGATTTTTTAAAAATAAATGTAGCCTAAATTACTCCTTATTACATCAGCAACCTGCCAATAAAAGTCCCGTCAAAATCGGTCCAGCCATTTTAGAGATTAGCCGGAAAAAACAGACAAACTGACAAAAATTGTAAAAAATGTTATTTTGGTGTATATCGTATTTATATTCATATACATGTAGTAAAAACGATTATTTCAATATTACAAACAGACACTACAATTTTATTTATATATATAGATATATAGATTATACTATTGCCACAGATAACATAATATATTGCTGTTGAAACTATATTTTCAAGATAATAATGATGACTAACTGTTTAATAAATCACCACATCATTACTGGGAAATATATTGACGTACAATAAAATGTAACTATATCGGAAAAGGTGAAGTCTTCGATAAAAATAATAATAATTTCAGGACAAATCACACGGCGCCATCTAGACCCAAGTTAAGCTAGCTAAAGCTTGTGTTATGGGTACTAGATAACTGTTACAAATACATAAATATTTTTTTTTCGTAAATACATACATATTATACATAGCAAACACACAGTCCGATACAAACAATCATATTCGTGAATACAAATGTTTGTGCCGTGCGAGAAATCGAACCCGCGACTATTGGACGTAAAGCGGTGTGCTAGACTGCTAGACCACCGAGGTCGTCAATGG